TTTTGTGTGATAGAAAAGTACCGCTACGACTGAAAGGAAAATTTTATAAGACGGTGGTGAGACCTGCAATGCTCTATGGCGCTGAATGTTTGCCTTTAAAAGAGAAACATAATAAAAAAGTTAAGTGTTGTCGAGATGGGAATGATTAGGTGGATGAGTGGCTTTACACTTAGAGACAAAATGCGGAATGAATATATTCGTGATAGGGTTGGTGTAGCTCCTGTGACAGACAAAATTAGAGAAAGTCGTCTTAGATGGTTTGGTCATATTAAACGTAGACCATTAGATGATCCGATTAGGAGAGTAGATGTTTTAAATTCGACTTGTGTTAAGAAAGGCAGAGGTAGACCTAGGAAGACTTGGGCTTATTGTATTAAAAATGATCTTAATTTACTAGAACTAAATGAAAATATGACACTAAATAGGACGCAATGGAGAAAAAGGATTCATGTAGCCGACCCCACGTAGTGGGATTAAGGCTTTGTTGTTGTTGTTGTTGTATAATTGTTTCTCCACTATGCAGAGAGAGAACACACACCGAACAAACTTGCGGCATATATTTGTGCTTCAAGACAATTAAAAACCACAAATATAACATATGTTGTTGTTATTTGTAATAAATCATCATATTCAGAGTAAAGCCTCCCTTTTAAGTAATTCAAATATACAATAGTTCAACCACAAAAGTTAAAAAGCCAGTCCTAAATACGCCGTCGAAGGTAATACAGTCATATTAGAACCAGAACTATCAGTAAACATTGGCAATTAGTACTAATGTTGTGACTGGCAAAATGAAATATTTCCAATTGGGCAAAATGAAAAAATAAAATTAAGTTCAGAAGTTTCATTCCTCTAAACTTTCATTATTGCAAAAGGGAAGAAATAATCAACTCACAGATCTGGATTAGAATGTACTTTTGTATAAAAACCATCCATAGGATACAGTGCACCAACGAGCCTATCAAATACCATATCAGTATCGACATTGAAAAATGGTTGGTAAGATGAAATGCTAAAATATCCATTCCAACTGCTTGTGCTCTGCACGTCTTCACCTGCATGTAAGTTAAAGCAAATAATGAAGCTTACACAAGCAAGCATATCCAAAAAAAATTCTATCTAAAGTTCAAATCAAAGCCCATACTTATTTTTAGGGGCAATTAGATACATAGCACAAAATTCTTAAGTATTTACGTATCTCACCCCAAAACTTTAATATTTACACATAAAGCACTCAAATCTTTAATATCACATAAAAAATAACACTATTGCTACTTTTACAAATGAAATACACATTTTCATGCATAGGTTAAAGCACTGAAATGCTATATATGTAAATATGAAAGTTAAGGTGTGAGATATGTAAATGCATAAGAATTGTGTGCTACCTGTGTAAATTCACTTATTTTTATGGCCTATCATCCAGCTTCAATGAACAAAACAATTTATAATGATGTTAGCATGAAACAAAATATCAAAAAAATATCAAAAAAACACAAAAGCTTATTATCAATTAGTGATAAAATAGTTAATGAACTCTTAGTGAAAACTTAAAAGCATTTATCTGATCACTGAACAAAGAGTTCAAGCATCGTAGTTTCTTAGATAAAAGCACAAATTGATTAATAGAAAATCTCACTGAAAACACGCTTTGGAATGTTCCAAGAAATTCCCAATCAACAAAAAGGAAACTTTGCTATTATAAAAAATAGCAAATAAAACTGAATAAACGATGCCTGAAAACTTTAAGGAAATTCCTGGTGGATAGCACTGGTTTAATTTTGCCAACCATTGGTGTGATTTTTTCATGCAATCTTATAAAGATACATGCCTCACAAAAAAACAAAAAACAAAAAAAACCTCTTTATTCTTCCCTGGTCTAATTCTTTTCAGAACAATGAAGTTTTTTGGTATTTACAAGTCTTAACTATTCATTTCTTAGGGTATGAGATTGCGAGATAGTTTGACAGATTCTACAAGAGAATGGCTTAATAAAATTAGCTCATAAAAATAACTGGGGATTGAATAAATCAATCAAGTAAAAATTTTCATATAAGAAATTCATGTCCTAGGCTGAGCAAGTCTGAACTGAAATAGCCAAAATGGGGATATGACATTCGCCATATACTAATAATTGTATGAGTGGGCAACTAATTCGGCCAATTATTAGCATATGGCGAATGTAAACTAGGCAGACGAAATAAACTCTTACTATATAGCAAATTTCACTTGCCATTCTAGTGGTGCCTGGTGAGCAAGTTACAACCTTGCAACCCCTCTAGATTTGTACTATTATATAAGAAAGTGTTCTTGTTGTAATTAGGAGTTCGTTTCAAGAGCTTTGTGTGCTGGACAATTTTGTTAATTTTTGCAAAAAGTGAGATTTGACAAATAATTGGACATTGTTATTCGTTTTGGGTGCATGAAATGAGTGCTAGCATCTCATAACCTTACATAAATTGATAATTGAAAAAGAAGCTTGCATGTGATCCAATCTTATTTCTTTTTGAAATGTGATTAGATGTTATGTTCACATATTTATAGTGCTTGGTTGTATTGATTGCAATATTTACAGAACTTTTACTTTCATAAATTCAAAATAAATTTATTTGTAATATTAATTATTGTTAATTGGGACTTTCTTACCAGTGAATCCTTCATGTTTCCGATTGAGAACTGTGATTCAACTTCTTGTGAAGTGAGACCTCACGCAAGTGAATCTCACTTTATGATTGTTGGGTGTACTTTTTATGTAATTGCTAATGTTAAATGCAAAGCGTCTATGTACGCGCCTACACTAAAAATGAATGAAGATGTACAAATTCTCACATGTGTTTATAATGCTTTACTTATAGACTATTTAACATGTTTTCCAATATAATTTTCTCTAAAAGGCATGTTTTTTATATTGCTTTAGGAATTACTAATTGAGTAGATTGCTGACAATTTACGCTTAGGTTTCTACAAAAGAACAATTTAGACTTTGAGAAATTTGACAAAATAAGTGTGATTCTACACTATCCTTAGTCATGTTTTTTTTTTTTTTTTTTTTTTTTTTTTACCTAAGCTTCATAGAATTATAAAGTGTAACCCTATAACAAAATGTTTCAAATATGGATTGTTTGTGCATGTAGCTTCATCTATTTGTGTCGTTAGACTTAATTGTTGTGTTGTTGGATCTCTTGTAGTGATAGTTTTGGATTGGACTATCTAATTATTGTTTTAGTAGATAATTATGGGTATCAATTGCTTTTGAATTTATGAATTGTTATATCACTGCATAGATATGATTAACAAATGATATAGACTACTATTATGTGACTGTGTGGCCGTTGTATGGACGAATTTTTTCGCGACAATTAGACAAGGCATGACAAATGATCAACATCAAATTCTCTTCATGCCAAACAAACAAAAACTGGAACATTGATAAGGAGCTTTGGATCTCATATCATGCATTCATATAATGGAGTATTTTTCTGCAAGCAAGACTGGACGGTCAATTTTGCTCGCTTATTGGAATTTTATTAAATAAAAGGGAGAAAAATTTTATATCATAAAATAGACGAAAAAAGACAACGGAGCAGTTTATTGTGGTGGGAGGGAGCATTGAATGATTCCAACGGTGAAAGTGTGACTTAAGCTCCATTTCTGACGAAAATATGACTTCCAGTAGATGGGGAAATTCAGAATCAGAGTGAAACCGCACATAGGCAATTAGAACAAAAACACATAAGCAAATAGGCAAAGCAGATGGGCAGGCAGACCTCGACTCAGTGAAATTTTTTATAAGTAGTTGTTCTAAGACACTTTCAAGCGCTGCTTATAAAGGAAGAAAACCAACATTGAGGTCCAATCCAAGAAAATAAAGCCTGATTCATACAGCGCCACTGTCCCCCTCCGATCCAGATTCAACAATGTAGACCATAAGGAAGAAACAGGAGGCAACTGTTACAGCCTTGCAATTTAGGCCAGCTGGTGAGCCAAAATAACATCCTAAGCCCCAAATTTAAAAGTACATAAAACTCAAATGTGCAAGAAGTTATTCTCACCATATGGAGTCCCTGGTGCTTGATAGCCTGAAGCGCTACTACCAGGCGGAAAGATTTGCAAATTCGTCTTCGGAACTACAAAATTGAAAGGATTTTCAAATCAAATAGATCAGGAAGAAAGGCAATATATATTGACGAAATGCAAAGCTGCAACTTAATACCCCAATCGGGGCCCTACCTCGACTTTCTTCAGCAACCACTGCCTGCAACAACATAATTGCCCGATAAGAAACCATGTAAAAACAACAGTTAAAAAATGTTTTTTAGGCAGAGCAGAATGCATTCCACCCATTACATTTATCCTCTAGCGACTGGAAGCAGAAATCTCAAAAAGAGGATCCAGGCGATGGCAAAAAAATAAAGAATTTGATGAAAAATGAATAAAACACGGTGGGAGACAAATGGGGCGCACCGGCACCGAGCCGACCGAATGGCTGGTAGGAAGACTTGTATAGCCTTCTTCCATGAAGGATCAACTGCTCCTTGGATATGAAATTCTTCACCTTAGACTCCTCATTTTCCCATTACGGAAATCCCGATCGAAGCTCTATGCCTCCTTGCTAGTAGAACAGCAATCTAGAGGTGGCTTTCCTGTCTCCAAATACAGAGAACTGGTAGAATTTCTGGTGGAATCGTCGCCCGATCCGATAACTGATCTAGAGTTTCCTTTTCCAAGGTCTCTGCTTTTTTTGTAATTATTTTTTCGTGAGACGCGGCGGGGACGAGGAGCGGTGGCTTGCCGGCTTGCTGATTCGAGTTTTGTAAAAAAGCGCATGGAAATAGATAATTACCACCCTATGTAAGTAAAAATGTAAATAAATATTTGATTCGTCAGATACTAATCCATAATGTCAATCATTTTAAATGGTTTGCATTGCTCGTTATGATTAACTAGTTACGGCCTTTGAAACTAAAGCAGACCTCTAATAATGTGACTTCTGTAATCTCAACAAAAATGAGGTTAATAATCACCGATAACACATTAAGTGATTAAAACATTCATTAAATATCCTTACAATTTCCCCTAATCATTGTCAGGTCCATCATTGACTGGAAATATACTTCTTTAAAATGCTTTTATAGAGTTGCATGCTTATGTTTATTTTGTTCTGCATGATTATAAAGTTACATAAATCATTAAATTTTCAATGGTAATCAAACATTATAGACTTATCAATAGTTATCACTGGTTATGGTGGCATTGGCCAATGAAATGTGGGTGATGATGGTCGTATACAAGTTTCTTGATAATTGTTGAGGTGATGGATATAGTGGATATCACTTGTTTGAAAATGTGCTAATGGTAATTTTTTTCTATATATTTGTTGTGGATAGTTACTATTTTTGCTTGAGGTGGATATTTGGTTATAGATGGCTTTTCTAAAAATTTCTAAGCTCGTTGGTTGCATCGAAATCATAAATCAAACATTTTTAAACCACTTATAATACAACGTGGTATTTTAAAAAAATTGAAAATGTGCTAATTGCAATTTTCTTCTATATATTTGTTTTGGATAGTTACTATTTTTGCTTGAGGTGGATATTTGGTTATAGATGGCTTTTCTAAAATTTCCTAAGCTCGTTGGTTGCATCGAAATCATAAATCAAACATTTTTAAACCACTTATAATACAACGTGGTATTTTAAAAAAAAAAAAACTATTGTGATGGAAAAAAATAAAGATTTTGCATTAAAGAAAAAAAATATGTAAAAACTGTTGTGATGGAAAAAAATAAAGATTTTGCATTAAAGAAAAAAAATATGTCTCATGTCACTTTTATTTGGCCTACTTTTTTGTTGAACAAAAGATATGCACATTTTAAAATAAAATAATGGATACAATAACCTATCAGTAAAGAGAACAAATTATCAAACGCCATAATACATTTCTAGAAGAAAGCTGCACCTAACAAATTGCCCATTATCAGAACCACTTGAAGTTGGTTTCTTAGGATATATATAGTGAATTATAAGTATTTGTAATTTAAAATCATGATCATGTGTAAACGAAAAAATGGAAAGTAACATTTCAAAAATTTACAAATCAAAATTTGACTGTTTGATTTTACAGATACGATAAAATTCTAAATTTATTTAAGAGAAAATGATAATTTTGCATTAACTAATGCAAATAAAGCTTCTTTTTAATTATTTTGGATGGTCGAAGTAAATTGGAGATGGCGTGTATATCAGCAACTAAAATTTAGACAATAATGAATAGTCCCCTTCTATTTCCTTCCTTTTATTACTTAAGCAGAGTATTATAAAAAACTATAAAGATGTTTTAAAATAAAATGAATATGTTTTTTTTTTTTGTTATAATGATATATTTGAAAGCAATTAAGAGCAAGGAGAAGGGCTTTGAAATTAACAGCCAAAAGAAATATGATTTTGGCATGCTCATCTCCTAAGAGGAAAAAAATTATGATTTTTCTTAATTATAATTACTTCTGATTGTAATGAATATCATATTGTATTAAATATGTTTTTTCTTGCTACCATTACTTTTACAAATATTTACAAATCTAGTCAAATTATATTTTGATCAGACCCCACTACCACATACACACATAATTATCTCATGATAATATTAGCTTTCAACCAAGGGTGTCCTTCAACAAAATCGAGCCTTAAAATATTTGAAACATTTAAAACTCTTAAAAGTATATAAAATATTTTAGATATATACTATAATTACATCATCCAAGAGTAATTAAAGCCCTTGTACTTGTTCTTAAGTAATTTTATCAATGCCCAAAAACCCAAGTCTTATGTTGTTTGCTAAACTTAAGTTTATTGTCATATTGTCTTCTATATAATATATAAATTATACTTGAAATTCTTAAAAAATTTTGAAGGTTCACATATCATATGAAGATCCATTACTCCGACATTTTAAAGTGATTTTAGGATATGGAGTAGTCTCATTTCCCACACAAACTTTCTAAACTCAACCCAGATGGCTCTTGGATTGTCCCGCAGGTTACCCTTGATCAACCCTCATTTATTAAAATCTAACATATGCAAACGCCACATATAATTCTCAGCCTTTTTGGGAGGAGTTCTAAATAAATTTCAGCCCTTAGTGTGTTCTCAAACCCTCGGTCATGCCAATTTGGCATAAAAGCCCAAGTTCGAAAGTGACAATGCATTGTCATTTTTAAAAGATTTAGAATTCAGAGAAAATTGTGGAAGGTGTTATAATTAAAACTTTAAGAATGTTTGTCTCCGTATTTCATATTTGGTTAATTTTATTTACCATTATAAAAAATATGCTAAAAACTATGCTTTAGGAATTTTCATAAATGCATGTACTGTTACCAAATAACTCTGTCTATAAATTAAGCATAAGCATTTACTTTTTAATCTTATCGATACCCTATATCAATCTAGTAATTTAAGTGATAAGAGAGTAAACCACTTTAATAAAAATGTATTTTAACTAAGGTTGAAACAAACTTTTAAAGTTTTTAAACTTGCAGTATTTGGGTTTTATTTAATTTTAATTTTATTGTTCTTAGTATTGTTCATTATTTTAGTTTTAAATAAATAATAATATGATTTTTTTTAAATATTAATTTTACCATTATTTAAAAAATATACTCCCATTTTCATGTTGATTCTAAAAAATAATGAATCGGCATACTATTATCTTTCATAGGTCTAGAGAATAACTAAGTAATGTTAAAATTTGGATGTTTAGATCAATATTTCTAAATTTAATTGCGTAAGCAACAACATGAGAAAGGGAAAAAAAAAAAGATAAGAAGAGTGAGAAGGTGTAGGAATTAGCATAGATTTTGTTTCAATTTAAGCTGAGAGTGAGATGTGAAAGGAAAAGTATATAGAGTAGAAGACATAAATGTCGGGGGACTAACCCTTGTTATTATACAACAACAACGACAACAAGTATTTATGCCACTAAGTGGGGTTGGCTACACGAACCCCTTTTTCTCCTTTTGTCTTATTTACTCTCATATTTGCATTTAATTTTAATAAACTAATATCATTTTTTATACAAAATTCATAAACTTTTTTAGGATCACATCTACCTTTATTAAATAATTCAAATCTAAAACATCTTGGATCATCAGATGATCGATGTTTAATGTGTTCAAAGCAATTAAGACGACTCCCTCTGATATTGTCTATCGCCGGAGGTACTCCAATCCTCTCACCAATATATTCATCCTGCATTTTGCCTCTAAGTTTAAATCCACTTATCCACTTCAACATTCTCTTTTACTTAAGCGTCTATTGGATTTTTGTACAATACTAAGATGTTTATATATCTCCATCACTCTCCAACACACAACGCTTATATATTTCAAATTAACCCCATTATAAGGCAAAAATAATAAAGCCTCCACATGTACATAACATTATTTTTCAAAGGATGCATATAATTAAATTCGAATGCACTCACATGCAACATTCAAATCCACTTATCCACTTCAAATTCATATATTTTCTTTCTAGATCAATATTTTCTAAATTTATTTGCATAAGCAACAACATGAGAAAGGGAAAAACAAAAATAAGGAGAGTGAGAAAATGTTTGGAATTAGCATAGCTTTTGTTTCAATTTAAGCTAAGAGTGAGATGAGAAAGGAAAAATATATAGAGTAGAAGACATAAGTATCGAAGTACTAACCTCTTGTTATTATACAACAACAACAACAACAAGCATTCATCCCACTAAATGGGTTTGGCTAAATGAATTCCTTTTTCAACTTTTGTCCTATTTACTGTCATATTTGCATTTAATTCTAATAAATTGGGATCATTTTTTTACACAGAATTTATAAACCATTTCAGGAACACATCCACCTTTCTCAAATAATTCAAATCTAAAACAACTACTCCCCAACTGGATCATGATCGATGTTTAATGTGTTCAAATAATTTAAGACGACTCTCTTTAATATTGTCTACCACACGAGCTACTCCAATCCTCTCACTGATATATTCATCATGCATTTTGCCTCTAAATTTAAATCCACTGGAACATTTTCTTTTTTTTACGTGTCTATTGAATTTTTGTACAATATCAAGATATTTATATATCTCCATCACTCTCCAACACACGATGCTTATATATTTCAAATTAACCCCATTATAAGACAAATACAATACACTCTCCACATGTACATAACATTATTTTTCAAGGGATACATATAATTAAATTCTAATGCACTCACATGCAACATTTGAATTATTATTTTTCTTTATAATATAATAATCATAAATCACTTCAAAATACTCATAATAAATTATGTATTTTTTTTTAGATAAAATAATATTTATAATAATCTTAGTATAGATTATATATTAAAATTATGTGAATCAATATAAAAAATTATTTATGAATAGATAATGCAATTCATTTTTCTTTTGTTAGGAAAGCCCATTGACTACACCGATATGGGAGAAAAATTTGCGTACGTAAGACGTACGCAGCGCTGCGTACATAATGAATATTATATGGGCGTTATATCGACATTATATTCGCATTACAGTATGTATAACTTATCTATAATTTTATTAAACTTATAAATAAGTTATGCGCTTCTATTTTGACATATTTATAGGTCACATGTAATTTTTGAGGGTTTAGTGAAAGTTTTTTTTGGAATTTATAAACGCAGCCCTGCTTTAAGGGTCCGTTTGGGGCAGCTTGTGCGTTTCAGGATAAGCTGTTTATCCTGAAACGCGGCCCGCGGGCCGGGCGTAGGGGTCGACCCGCGGTCT